TCTTGTCTTAAGCTGTAATTTTGGATGAAACAGGCTTAAAATTACAGGCAAGAATGACACTAACAAGCAAAACAATTTTCAGGATCACTGGACATTTTCACCAAAATGTTTCCTACTAAGCACTCAGAGATGTTTCCGACCATGCTGCTTGAGGCCATATCCAGGAAACCGTAGCAACATGAAGGCTGATGGTGGCAGATATGATGTTGTTGGTGGTGGTTTGGCATGCCAAATGCCACATGACTCTAAATGGGCAGTCTGAGGGCAGCTAGTTGTTGACAGTGAGGAATATGCAGCACTGTCCTTTTCACCCCTGTCACTGCTTTGTGAAAGCCAGGCATCTCACAGGGAAACATTTAAGTTGGCATTAATATCATAATCAGAGGTCTGTTTATTATTTCTCCGATGGACAGCGTGCAGTTAAACACACGCACGCACGCACGCACGCACGCACGCACGCACGCACGCACGCACGCACGCACGCACGCACGCACGCACGCACGCACGCACGCACGCACGCACGCACGCACGCACGCACGCACGCACGCACGCACGCACGCACGCACACACACACACACACACACACACACACACACACACACACACACACACACACACACACACACACACACACACACACACATTCCATGCTCCAAGCTTCCCTTAGGCTCAGCCATTCCCACTTATATCCAGCTCCAGGAACTCAAGTCACTTCACATTCCCGACATATTCCACCATCATGGCCCATCATCACCAGCACAGACTTGACCTGCTGTTACCTCAGTATTAAAGTCAGTAAACACAGACTCACAAACTGACCGTCATAACATTTTCTGCATAGTATGTCACCATAAAGTGTTTTCTTCTAGTTTTTTGTTAAATAGTGTACCCCATAAATCTTTTTCTTTGAATCCATGATATGTTTTGTGGGCATAGCTGATGTAATATTACAACTGCCTGCACATCAAACCCACTTTTACAATTAATAATCGATTTGTTTCCTCCTTTTTTCAAATGTTGCAGAGTTTGTGGATGAAAGTAATAACTTATTATGGATGTTGGAGAAACAAAAATACTAACATTTGTAAAATTAAACAACTTTCTTTTGGCAAATGTGTTGATTTTGAAATGTTTTACAGTCTTTGGTCTGCCAGTAAGAAAAAATAATAAAGGCAATACCAACAAAACACAAGGGTTAGTAACCTGGTCATTAATAGCCTTTTTATAATGACATACATTAAGCATGCATAAAGAGGTTTTCAAATGGACTTTGTTTTAACAATAAATAAAATGTAAGGTATGCATACAATCTCCACTGAAAACAAACAAACAAACAAATGTAAGAAAGTATTACTTTCAAAAGATCCTGACTAATTTGCTGTAGCCTTTTAATCCATTGTAATGTTTTTTTTCTGTTGTAAGCAATGGAGTAATATTTGTCCGTTAGGATATAATGAGGCAACAACAGCTGCTCACAAACATGGAGTTTTCCAACTGTAGATAAGACAATCTACTGATAACTTTTAAAGAGTAAACAATCCCTGCCTCTCACACTTGCACTCTGTCGGTCTGTCTCCTTCTGTACCTTCTCTCAGGCCTTATCTAATGTTGAATGTTTTTACTTAAACTCACACTCTATCATGGCCATTACACATCGCCAAATAGGCCGGCTGTTACAAAACACTCTGTTTCATGCCAGGGGGCGGATTTACAGCACCACATCTCAGCCACCTCTCCACGTCAAAGTGTGTGTCATAGATTGAATAGATTTGGGTTTCTGTGTATTTGTCAGTCTTCCATGTTCTTATATAACTGCTCATTTAGGAATGCCAGATTTCCCAAGGCTGGTTTATTTAGCCTCGAGTCATTCTATCGCACACCTTTGACCTCAAACCAAATGATGTGATACTATAGTGTGTGTGTGTGTGTGTGTCTGTGTGTGTTTGTGTGTGTGTGTGTGTGTGTGTGTGTGTGTGTGTGTGTGTGTGTGTGTGTGTGTCCGGGATGCAGGTAGAATTGAATCTCTGATACTGTTATCAGTATCATGATGCTGGGGGCCTGTTGGGAAGACCCACTGCAACTCTGACCTACTTATATTAGTGTACAGGGCTGCATGTATATGTTTGTGGATTGTTTGTGCATTTGTGTTTGTGTGTACATGTGTGTTTGTTTTATAGTGCTTGGGACTGTGTGTATTTAAGGCAAAGTCTCTGTGGACGTGGGTAGTATGAGAAGCTGGGTGTTTTGACAGCTTTAGAACAGTTCCAGTACAGTGCTGAGGCAGGGGGTGTGCAGGCCTGTTGGGTATTTGGGCGAGCTGTAAGGGTGAGTTTAGGGTCAGTGGAGGAGTGGACAAGAGGGAATGAGATGAGGGGAAGAGTTTTATTTCAAAGTGCTCTACGGCCATTCAAATGATACCTGATATTCATTGCTTAATACTTCTCTATATGAATTCAGAGCACATCCATTATTGAGGCGATGCCTCTCAGTTATCAGTGCTAGCAGTGCAAACAACTGCAACAGAGTTAAAAGCTGGTTGGGAACAGTTATCAGCGGTAACACAAGTGCAGTGCAGCGACAAAGACTCCCGTAACACATGCATTCTATGCTCTGGATGGCATAACTCCACTATATTTACATAGCAAATAGTTGTTTGATACTTTACTAATTCCCCTAATGTTGTGTATCGAACCTTTCATATAACAAAAAACTCATGATGTCATCTGAAATCAATCCATCTAAGCCAAAAGTTATTAACTGTCTCCATAATGTAGACAAGTAGAACATTTTACTGATCACCTGCAATAGTTCTGTTAGAACAGATGTCACATATTTTAAATGATGGCTCATGGATGGCATAATGGGAGAAAGCATTCACAGAGATAATATAAAAGTATTTCAGAAGGGAATCAGGAAACCACCTAGTTATTTACTGAACTGGAACCAAATGTTTTCATCAAATTAAAATAATTCAATCTTTCCAAAAGACTTGAGGAACATTGGATGGCAATGAATATACTGCAGACTCAACTGAATATTTATCCAAGCAGCAGGACACTCCTTGTTGAGGTAGTTATGCCAAAGAATGATCTCAGCTCATTCTCCCAACTTTAATCTCACCAAAGTGTAAAAGCAATGGGAGTAGACTTCCCACACAGTTAATAAAAGAGCGATAAAGCTCGTAAACAAAGCAACTCAGTCCTTTTTGTAGTACTGTAGCTGGAAAGGCCAGACATAAGATCAGACTAATGCTTGAGAGTTCTCTCCCAAGTCTACCTCTCCAACAAAGGGGCCGCCTCTCCCCATTTCTAAGCCCTCTCAGTGCCAGCGCTGTTGAACCCCTGCTTTCCTCAGCAGCATTCCAGCCCATCTTTCATGCTGTTTCATTCTGGCCATGCCAGCCAGGTCAGGGGCCAGAGCTTTCTCAGGGCTTGAAGACAACACTGGACAAATAGATATAAAAAATACATCTCCACTCGGTTGCAAATTTGAACTTTTGTTCACTCATGTTGTTGATTCTTTGTTATGTGTGTATGCTTTAGCAAAAAACACATGAAAATACTCCTCTATGAAATGTGGGGATAGATTACGGAGCAGAAGGGTCAAGTAGTAGGTGTGTGGTTTGCTATGGCCTTATTCTGCTTCAATAACATGTTGCACTGTAGGCCTATAGTCTGTCTACCACTGCTGATCGATGCTAGATCTGTCACAAAGATGTAGTCTATTGGCGCAGTGGCCCTGAGTGACAACAATGACATATTCTAGCAAAGTGCTTATACCTTTGATTCAGAGGTCAGTATCAAATTCTACCAGTAGATGGCTGTCTTCAGTCTTCCACAGTAATGAAAGGGAAAATATCAAAAATGAATTAGATCTAATGCAATCAAATTCTAAAATCCACATCTAATCTCAAATTCCAGGCATGGCTATAATGAAAGGCAGATGACTCAGATGAAGGTTTCTGTCCTAAAAACATGCCCGGGCAAGGTCTTCAGCTGGATAACATCACATTTACAAAAGTTGAAAGTGAAAATGGTTTTGCTGACAGAATAGTGATGTATTTTCACCTCCTGGCAACATGGCAGCATTTTTCCTCTCTGGTACAGCTTAACATTGCAGAAATGAATTCCCAGATATCGAGATCTTGGAAACATGTGAAGGGTAGAGAAGGCTGTGTATTATCCACAGCAATCCATGATATGCCTTTTCTCTTGGCTCCTGCATTGGCTTTTGTTGCAACACACAAGTGTTGCTATGTGTGGTAGCTAGTTGCTATGAAGAAATATTCTCGCCACTGGCCTTGACACATTACTACACAATTTAATATTTATCTGTATTGAAGTTGGGATTGACGATGACAAACATGAATGAGCAAAGATTCAAAGAGAAATCAATTATTGTCTTTAATATGATGGCAATTTAATGTTTTCCAAAAATGTTTTATTTTATTTGTAGGCTATTCTTTTTTTGGTAAATGGTTGCAATCCTTCTTTTGTACCCATCCCTCGTGTTTAAAACATAATGAGACATAATAATGACAGAATCTACAACCAGCACAGCGGTGGATGTGAATGCTCAATACATGCTTTGCAGCATGTATTGAGTTAACAGGACGGAAAGAGCAAAGTTTCGGGGCGGGGATACTATAATTTCTGAAGGATATGATTGGCTCCTGTGTCCTAATCTCTTTTATGTGGTCATTTTCAGCTCCAACATCCACTGCCTTAAATCTTCAATCTAACTTTTTTTGTTCAAAAACTTTTGTCGAGTGATATTTATGTCGAAGAAAGCTACTTGGTGTCTGTCTTCAGCGCCAAGTGACACAGCACAGCAAAACTGGTACAAAAGTACATTTAGACGCTAGGGGTAGATTTGTATCGAAATGAATCCACAATCATTTTTTTTAGATAAGATTTCTCACCATTCATGCCTTATATGCTTTATATTCTACTCCAGAATACCACGGCGGTGTGTCGGTGGGGTCTATTACACTAGGGAGGATTTAGGGGCGGCATTGTACCCGAAAAGTATTTTTTCTGATAGCACCTGAACACAACACAAGATGAGCAGGGTTTCTTGTGTCATGACGCGCAGTCCTTGGAGGCGTGAGTCTGAGGAAATCAGCTGGGGAAACAACAACAGAAAAGGAGGTGACTCAGACCAGACATATATTTAGCCCGGTCATGTTTACATTTTTTTTGTAAAAAGTGCTCCGATTATAAATAACAACAGCATCTTATCAGGTCTGCAGCAGCGAGTGTGTGCTTGCTGAGGTCTGAGAGACGCTGGATTACAGAGGCAGCGAGGGGAAGTGAAAGGTAGAGGATGTGACAGGGCAGAGGTCCTGCATTTATATGAGCTCTTTGACAAACAGCTGGACCCCTGCGACCACCTCTGCATTATCTCCACGCGTATTTGTCCGGTTTCACAGACCGGCTAATCCCCCAGCAGAGTGGCATGTGGGTCAACTCCGGAACCGTCGGAAGGTAGGCACCCCTCCTGCAGAAATACTGGGTCACATGCTCCCAATGCGATTCTCGATGTTCACAATGCAATCCACACACAGTTCACAAGTAATGTCCTTATCTCTAAAGATACAGAAATCATTAGCTGTAGGTCTATTTAATTCAGTGTGACTTCATCGTACGTAGTGGGCTTTTAGTCCCCTCTATAAAGTCTCTGTAATAGTCTCAAGGGCTCTTATATGGACATGTATAACATTATTTAAGCAACGAGATGTAACGATGGTAAGTATTACTTTTTAACCCACGCGTGTACACTGCTGCTTCAGAGTGTTTCGATTCAGTGTTGTAGTGCAGCGGATGGGCTTGGCACATTACGCAAGAACCGCATAATTTGGTATGTAGGCTGAAATCAACCTGCCTTTTACAACATAGATATGTCAAATGCTTATTTGCCACCGCGCTGGATGCCAAGTGTAGTATAGTCTGCTTTTTATTTCTCCACACAATGATGCCAAATATAATGTCTGATAAAAATATGAATGAGCCAGGTGGTTATGAATGGCTGCGGGACAAGGCGGCGCACGAGGTGCTTTTCATTGATGAGTGAAGTGATGCTTCAGCCCAGGAACAGCAAGAAGAGGATACATGTGACAAATCAGGACAAAAGATAACGTTCAGAATATCAGTTTGAAAGAAAGCATCTGCACTCGCGAACGCACGCGCATGAATACATGCACACACACACACACACACACACACACACACACACACACACACACACACACACACACACACACACACACACACACACACACACACACACACACACACACACACACACACACACACACACACACACACACACACACACACACACACACACTGTAATCCTTATCCTTGTGGCCATGACGTCATCAAACAGTGTTACGCAGGTGCCTGTGGCTGGTGAAGAAGCCTTTCACTTTTACCTGGATATAGATAAAGTAATAATATTCTACAAGGTGGTTATCAGACTTTATATTCATTAAAGGTGGGGGAGGTAATTTTGGAGGAACCAGCGAGATTCATTCAGTGCGCTAGAATGTGAAAATACACAACCCGAACAAATCTGCCACTTCTTTACAGAGCCCCTCCTCCAAAACACACGAACGTGCACATGACCAATGAGGGCACGAGATAAATTTGTGCACAGATGGAAGGCTGACAGGCAGGTAGGCCATCCAGTTATTTTAGCCGGGCGGGCTGGCTAAAAGGATTGGTCGTGCTTTTTACAGCGCCACGGCTTCCACAGATTAAAATGTTATGTATTCATTGTCAAAGCATTTAATATATTCATTGCTATCGGGATGTTAAGAGCATTCGATGGAATATAACAACAAATGTTTCTAATATAAATTACATACCACCTTTAAGCAATTAATCATATCTGTAGGATGTGGTTGCATAAACAATTTAGCACACCTGCCTTGCATATTCTCCAATCTTTGTCTGGTACAGATTGCGTTACAGCCTGCTACATTTGCGGTGACCGCCCGGCAGATAGCTGTTAGATAAGTGCAAGGTTGTGGTAACTTTTTATTGCTTCTTCTATCTTTTTACTCCTGCAGTTTGTGTCTCTGAAGGTGTCGCAGCTAGGCAGGGGGCAAGGGAAAAAGAGTATTTATAATTCAGGAAACGGCAACCTTGACAGACACTTTTCTTCAGCTCACATAGACAAAGGTAGGCTCTCTGTTCTGACATAATTGGGACTACTTTTCACAGGAAATATGTTTTTGTGAAATCATTGCCTGAGGTCTCTGTGGTAGAAATATGTTCTATATTGCAGCATTAGCATTATATGGTCTGAGGTCTATAGTGACATTGACAGCGGCTCAAGGCTGTTAAGCTGGATGCACACATGGGTCATGTGTTCCATTATGAATGGATGCCATTTTTAGCTGCTGGTGTCTGTCAGTGCCGGACTTAAGTGTTGCACGTCAATGGAATAGCAAGTGAAGGCCTTTATGAATGTTTCAGATGCTCTATTTATGGAGCTTTGGGGTGGGTCTTTGAACTAGTTGCAAGAATGGATGGACTGATTAGCTGGCATGTTTTAGTTTTAGACCTTCTATAACTACTAGTGTTAATGAATTAGTGATCGGGGCTGTCATTGTGTATAACGTCAGATGGATCTGGGACAGAGCTATTTATTGTCCTGGGCTGGTTAGGCCCTATGCCCAACGCTGTGTCAACAGCTTTGAGATAACAGTGCAGCACTGACAGGCCCACATGGAATAGTCCACCAGCATTTTATGGCTGCCTTGAATGTTCTGACCCCTGTATCAGGCTGTAGCAAAAGGTAAACAGGGCAATAGACCATGCAGTTGTGTGTATATGTTATGCTTTATGTCCTGTTCTGAACCCAGTATGTTATTACATGGAGCGTACAGCATTGGTAAAAAGTAGAGAAGAAAATGTGAGAAAAAGTGGGAGATACGATTGAAAAATAGAGAATATGGTAGATATTAAACAGAGAAATTGCATGGATTGAAGTAGATAAGGGAAAAAAAGGGCGTAAAATAAAAAGATAAACAAGTTGAGACACAGAGAGAGAGAGAAAGAGTAGGTGGAAAATACGGGCAAGGGAGGAGGAAGATGGGGAGGGATAAAGGAAATGAGGGCATCAAGAGGAGCCTTCCTGTGTATACAAAAGTGTATCGCAGCAGTGAACAGAGAGGAGGATGGCTTTCTCAAGCAGGCTGATATGCTGCTCCCAAAGACCCTCTCATTCACTAGGATTGATGTGTACATATTGCCGCCTGCTACGGGCCATGCAGTACCATCTGTAGTGGGTTAGGCAAATACATGCCGACATGCATATGTGTATGCATGTCTGTGCTGGTGTGTGTGAGTCTGAGGTCTCCTGTTGTCAGCCATCCAGGGAGCCAAGCAGAGGCTACAGACCACATTATATAACTAGTCTGTGCCAGCTGTGCCTGTGGCAAACCCCCACATAACACACCCACATGTTCACTCCCATGCTCACCTAAAATCATACAGAAGTGCAAATGAGTAAGCATTTTCCCTCATGTTAGCAGACTTTTGATACAAAATATAGAAGAATTAGGTTGCACACATGACTGCACATATAGCCATCGTTTCTTCCAACAATTACACATGGACACTTTGACTATGCAGTCAAGCCTATGATAGTGTAAACCCCATAGCTCTGTGTGAGGGCACAAGTTTTAGCCCATGTATAAAGTGGGTTATTGGGGTCATTTATTTTGCAAGGCAGGCTGGAGGGAGCAGAGAGGCAGGCGGGTCAGTCAAGTTGATGGTATGAACTCTTGCCCCCAGGAAGAGGAGAAAAAAAGGCGGATGGGGGCGGTGGAGGGCTTTAGGATGAGCGGTGGCTGATAGTGGATCAGTAAAGGTGTTACATAACAGAGGAAAGCAGACCGAGGGGGAAGAAAACCGGATGTGGGGCAGCTGTCTGCTTAATGCTGCTCCTTGATGGATATCCAAGATTGAGGTAATAGATAGATAGATGGATATACAAATGACCAAAAGGAGAAAGGATGGCATGACTTGGTGTGGTTTAGTGGGCACGTCTGGGATCTAAGCATACAGAGCTAGACAAACAGAAGGATGAATGAACATATTAATATAAGGGAAGTGTTTTAAAAAAACTAAAAGTGAAGATGACAGGAACTGTGCAAGGAAGTAGAGCTGCAAGCCATCTCCCTATGAAACCCCCTCTGGCCTTAAAGCATAGCCGTACTGGGACGCACAGTATCCAAATTATGCATGAGCTTCTTTGTCTGTCTGGTCCTCCTGCTCCAAACACACACTTGCACAAAGACACTGACTCAATTTGTGACAATCCAGATTAAACCAGAAGGTCGGCGTATGTGTGTTGAGTGGGTGTTTGAGTTCCTGTCACAGCGTTCCTAGCACTGTGGTCTTGCCTGCACCCATCAATATGTCACTATAAGAGTCAGAAATACATGCAAATAAACTGGGACAGAAACTCATCCTTTCTTCACGCACATAATATGATTTTACATGCCAACAATATTTTTCCCTTGCAGCCTCCTGTGCTGCCTTGTTGGGAAACTGACACTGGCCAGCAGATGAAGTCTAGACGTCTGTGTACAGTTTACTATAGGTCCTTGGCTAAAAATGAAACCTGAGCTTTGCAGCTTCTCTTTCCGCTCCTGTGAGCTGCATGGCTCTCACAGACTCCTGCTCATCCTTCAGTCAGGCAATTAACAAACATTGTTGAAAGCTTGTGAAAGTTCATACCAATTAAATATAAACCTGAGAGCAGGTGCATATATTTCAGGTGCAGTGATGTGCAACAAAATAATTGTGTTATGGTAGTTGACCGATGCATGACCACACTCTCGCTCGAAGCCCGATGCGTAGCCTCAGATGGAGGATGATATCTGGGAGCTTGGAACTGTTGATTCCCCCGAGAAACTCTCCACACCACCAACGCCGCCTCCTGGTTACTTCACTGCTCACATCATTCCATGCCTCACAGACCGGCCCTAAGCTCATTACCCGAACACACATACACGCATGCGCGCGCACACACACACACACACACGCGCTCATATGCGTACTGACTTCCAGACTCCCTCGGGTCAGTAGAATGTTAAACTGGTCTCTTTTATCTTTCTGTTAGAGAGCCACACATTAGAGAGAAGCAGCATCAGCAGGAAAAGCTGTAATATTTCCCCCTGAGCAGCCTTGGTTATTGTCGCTCTTGCCCTTTGATCCCAGTGGCATGACTGACTGATTCTAATGCTGGGTTGACAGTCCCTCTCTTTCTCTCTAAGACTCTAATAATCCCCTCCCTGCCTTGTCTCTATTGCAATCCCTTTTGCTGATCTACTGTTGCATTGGAAGTGCTAGGATTAATACTGTGCATCCTCCCCCTTTACTACATATTGTGGATGTTGCTGAACCATTTATATATTATGTCAGGATTCATACCTCATACCCTTCATCTTTTGGCTGTTGTCCTAGTGCAGCGTTACAGCCTGCTACATTTGCGGTGACCGCCCGGCAGATAGCTGTTAGATAAGTGCAAGGTTGTGGTAACTTTTTATTGCTTCTTCTATCTTTTTACTCCTGCAGTTTGTGTCTCTGAAGGTGTCGCAGCTAGGCAGGGGGCAAGGGAAAAAGAGTATTTATAAAAAGGCACTGTTTTTTCTGTTCCATATGGACCATTCAGGAAACGGCAACCTTGACAGACACTTTTCTTCAGCTCACATAGACAAAGGTAGGCTCTCTGTTCTGACATAATTGGGACTACTTTTCACAGGAAATATGTTTTTGTGAAATCATTGCCTGAGGTCTCTGTGGTAGAAATATGTTCTATATTGCAGCATTAGCATTATATGGTCTGAGGTCTATAGTGACATTGACAGCGGGTCAAGGCTGTTAAGCTGGATGCACACATGGCTCATGTGTCCTATTATGAATGGATGCCATTTTTAGCTGCTGGTGTCTGTCAGTGCCGGACTTAAGTGTTGCACGTCAATGGAATAGCAAGTGAAGGCCTTTATGTTACGGTGTGCAGGAAGCAGGACCCAAATGCAGATTTAAGTGACAAAATAATTCCTTTATTTCAAGGCTACAATATTCAGAGACGTAGGCCACCAGGGTGGGTGGAGGGGGACCGGAGGAGGGACACAAAACTAGGGCCAACAGGGTGGGTGGAGGGGGTCTGGAGGACGGGCTTGGGCTGACAGCCCAGGGGCAAGGCAGAGCTTGAAAAGGGGGTTATGGAGGGACGAAAGACCTCAGTGGCAGGAAGAGTCAGGGGGTCGGGCCCGAGGGCGAGGACCGCGGCACTCAGGGGGCCGGGCTCGAGGGCGAAGACCGCGGCTCTCAGGGGGCCGGGCAGAACCCGGTGTCGGCCGGACAGGAACCGGCGCTGGTGGGACAGGCCTCGGCAGGATCCCCCACGGAAAAGGACCAGGAGTTGGCAGGACCCCCGCCAGGAGAGCAGTCGGCGGAACCTCCAACAGGACAGGACACAGGGTTGACAGGACCCCCGGCAGAAGGGCAGTCGGCGGGACCCCCAACGGGACAGTACACAGGGTTGGCAGGACCCCCGGCAGGAGAGAAGTTTGCGGGACCTCCAACAGGACAGGACACAGGGTTGGCAGGACCCCCGGCAGAAGGGCAGTCGGCGGGACCCCCAACGGGACAGCACACAAGGCTGGCAGGACCCCCGGCAGGAGAGTAGTTTGCGGGACCTCCAACGGGACTGGACATGGAGCCGGAAGGACCCCCAGCGGAACCTCCATCGGCATAGGACATGGGATTGGCAGGACCCCCGGCAGGAGAGTAGACGGCGGGACCCCCAACGGGACAGGACATGGGATTGGCAGGACCCCCGGCAGGAGAGTAGACGGCGGGACCTCCAACGAGACAGACATGGAGTTGGCAGGACCCCCAGCGGAACCTCCAACGGACCAGGACATTGGGTAGGGACTTGAGACGTGACTCAAGTAGGGACTCGAGAGGAGACTCGAGAGGGGAACCAAGGGGGAACTCGAGAGGGGAACCAAGGGGGAACTCGAGAGGGGACTCGAGAGGAGACTCGAGAGGGGAACTAGAGAGGGGACTAGAGGAGAGCCTAGAGGAGGGACTAGAGGAGGAACTAGAGAGGGGACTCCAGAGGGGACTAGAGGAGAGACTAGAGGAGGGACTAGAGGAGGGACCTAGAGGGGAATCGAGGAGGGACTAGAGGAGGGACTAAAGGAGGGACTAGAGGAGGGGACTAGAGGAGGGGACTAGAGGAGAGACTAGAGGAGGAGCTAGAGGAGGGACTAGAGAAGGGACTCGAGAGGGGACTCGAGGGGGAACTGGAGAGGGGACTGTGGCAGCTGGGGCCGGGACTGGGGACGGGACCATGGCTGCTCGGGCCAGAACTGGGGCTGAAACCATGGCTGCTGGGGACTGTACTAGGTCTGGAACCATGGCCGGAAATATGGCTGTATGATCCAGTTCTGAAGCCGGAAACATGGCTGTATGGGCCGGCTCTGGAGCCGGAATTGAAGCCAGATTCATGGCTGTAAGGTCCGGTTCTGAAGCCGGAAACATGGCTGTAAGGTCCGGTTCTGAAGCCGGAAACATGGCTGTAAGGTCCGGTTCTGAAGCCAGAAACATGGCTGTAAGGTCCGGTTCTGGAGCCGGAAACATGGCTGTAAGATCCCGTTCTGAAGCCGGAAACATGGCTGTATGGGCCGGCTCTGGAGCCGGAACCATGGCTGCTATGACCGGTACCTGAGTACGAGCTGGCTTCCTGACCTTGCGTCTTTTAGAAGTCTTTTGGAGGCTCCGTGGACCTCCAAACGCCAGGCGGGATCCCAAGAAAGGGTCAGAGAATGGACACTAGCACTCAGGGCTGCGTGAGAAAACTCTGAGAAACTCAGGCAATGAGCCTCTCAACCATGGCATGTTGTCCATCTCCATTTGTGCCTTTTTGAGGACAGCCTCTTTGTCCCTTTTAGCCAAGGTTCTACTCCATACAGCATAATGACACTGAAGAGTGTACTCTAGGGATAACAAGTCCAAATCAAAATTAAAATCCGCTGGGTCCATTGTTGGTCGGTTCGTAATGTTACGGTGTGCAGGAAGCAGGACCCAAATGCAGATTTAAGTGACAAAATAATTCCTTTATTTCAAGGCTACAATTTCAGAGACAGAACAGAACACTCACCGCAGTTTACTCACAACACAAGACGAACCGACACTGAACACAGGAAGAGACAAGACTAAATACAGGAAGGGGTAATCACAAGACGAGACACAGCCGGGCAGGGGAGGAGAAACACAAGGGCCACAGGTGAAAACAATCAGACAACTAGACACACCAGGGAAACTAACGACGGGAGGAAAAACACAGGAAGAAGGACCAGACAATATACAAGGATGAAAATACCCATAACCAGACATACAAAACTACAACACAGACAGATCCAAACACTTTATGAATGTTTCAGATGCTCTATTTATGGAGCTTTGGGGTGGGTCTTTGAACTAGTTGCAAGAATGGATGGACTGATTAGCTGGCTACAGGTGTGTGTGTGTGTGTGTGTGTGTGTGTGTGTGTGTGTGTGTGTGTGTGTGTGTGTGTGTGTGTGTGTGTGTGTGTGTGTGTGTGTTGTGTGTGTGTGTGTTGTGTGTGTGTGTGTGTGTGTGTGTGTGTGTGTGTGTGTGTGTGTGTGTGTGTGTGTGTGTGTGTTGTGTGTGTGTGTGTGTGTGTGTGTTGTGTGTGTGTGTGTGTGTTGTGTGTGTGTGGTGTGTGTGGTTATGCAATACAGCAGATTCTTCCAGGATCTTTTTTTTAAATGGGTATTAACATGTGTTTTGACATGTCAGAAATGTTTGTAAGCAGTTTATAGAAAGGGGATTTTGATAAGCTTCACAGGGTTATATGGTTTTAAAACAGGAAGTCAGTTGAGCTGTGTACATTGCCCCATAACCTCTTGTGTTATGGTTAACTCTGTTGACAGGTTCTCTGCTTACTGTAAATGTAGTTTACCCCAATGGATGATGGACATCCATAATTATTAGAATGCATTTTTCTTTTTGGATGCATTGGATGCCATCCAGAATAGATAGATGGAAAGACTGACAAACAGAGGAAAGGACAGTGAGCTCAAGCGATGTCTCTCTCTTTTTTGTCTTTCTCTCTCTCAGTGCTGTTACAGAAATAGCTCTGCAGTCCCTCTATTCCTCAGCCTGTAAACCTTGTGTTCTTTGAGGAGTTTGGCAGAAGCTTCCGTACACTGGTCAGTGCAGCTATGGGGGCTTAGAGCCTTAACAAAGCTTCTCTGTGCTGGACTGCAAAATTGTTAAAAACACTGTGCCGAAATGCAATGTGTGTGATTCTTCCTGGGATTCGTGATCAATGAGATTTTAATTGACCATGAATATTGAATTAACCTCTTTTCGTTCTCTCTGTCTTTTTGTTCTACTCTCCAGGGCCCTCTCCATGGATATAGACACAGACTATGAGCGGCCCAATGTGGAAACCATAAAATGTGTGGTGGTAGGGGATAATGCAGTAGGCAAGACCAGGCTAATCTGTGCCCGGGCCTGCAATGCCACCCTCACACAGTATCAGCTGCTTGCCACCCACGTGCCAACCGTCTGGGCCATCGACCAGTACCGTGTATGCCAGGAGGTGGGTGCGCACACACACATGAACACACAGCCAAACACAGTATGGAAAAAAATCACATATAGACAAACTCTGGCACACATTTTGACCTGGTGCTGTGGCTAATTGTGTTTATTGCATTTCTATCACAGTTAAATGCATCTCTTTTAAGGCCTTTGAAATCCAACTTGATAACAATTTTTTACCATGCAGTTGAACATTGTACATAGTTTTTCTTCCTTTCAAAGGGCTTGCATAATTGCTTAATTTCCTCTAAAAACTCCAACACCACAATGAAGTGAAGACCTTTTGACCAGCTAACAGGGATATGTGTCTGTGTTTGCAGGTGTTGGAGAGATCTCGTGATGTAGTGGATGAAGTCAGTGTGTCCCTGAGGCTGTGGGACACATTTGGGGATCATCACAAAGACAGAAGATTTGCCTATGGCAGGTGAGCGGATACAAAAACATTTTCAAACATTTTAGCATCGAGAATCTAATTGACCACCTTGAAACATGTTCGAAAATATAGCTTTGTCTTGGCTGAAGAATTTGTGAGGCATATACACAATTTCCTTTGGCCACTATTTGACCAAATTAATTGTTGCGCAAGTAAATTACAATGAGAACGGATCTAATCCATCACACCTACGTAAACATGCCCACATAACATTTACTTACCCAAAAGTTAAGTTTTTTTTGTGTAATCCAGCTGCCACGCTTGAACTCTGCCCTCAATCTGTTACATCCTTCCTCCACCAGACATGATTGGATCATCGCTCTATCCTCTTACTTCCTGTCCTTTCATGAAATTGCTTTTATTGGCATGAAATGCAAAGTACTTATTCCCAAAGCAAAATCAGCAAAAACCAATCCCAACGACAGAGACCAAGCTTGACCACATGACAGTGACATCGAAAAGTGAAGATACATTTTATACATTAGTTCTACATTGCTGAGGCATTAAAACATATTTATTAAGTAAAGTGATACACATTTTTTGGTTTCTTAATTTCACCCATGTACGATTCCATTGTATCTATTTTAAGCTACCCTTCATAATTGAATGTGTCTCTTAGATAGTCAGAAGCCATTACCAGACATCCAACATCCACACACATGCATGTAAATCACAGTGGGCAATCTGTGAGTTCTGTCAAGGGTGGGTGGAAGGACTTTGTGTAACATGTCATCCTGTTTTTGGCTCAAATTCCCTCCCCTCTATTGTGTTCTCCCACCTTTCAGTTTCTGTACTTTTTCACAGTGATCTGCCTCTGTTTGTGTGTGTTTTGATGTGTGTGCGTGTCTGTCTACATGTCCTGTATGCTTTGTCAGCCTGCAGTCAGCTGATAAAGACACAGTGCCAGCTCAGCTGTTTTCAGCCTGCCTGCCTCCCTGGAGTCTGCAGCTCCAGGCATCGTGCTCTTCCTCCTCCTCCTTCTCCTCCTCCAGCCTGCCCCTAAACTCCTTTACCTCATCCCACCTCCCTCATCACTGCGTAACTCAACTCCCATCATTAGTCTCCTGTATACCCATGACACTTTGCTGCACCTTAACCCTCTCCACACCTTCCTCCGCTCTGTAGCCTTATGTTGATATCTACACTCAAAACATCACATTTTTAGACAATACCTAGACTGTCACATGCTTTTTTACGTGAACAACACTCTGGCTAGGAAACAAAGCCTATCAAATCAGCCTAAAAACAGTCAGTCAAATCTAATTTAAGCCCATCTGAAACAATGTTTTCAGTCGGCATAAATGTGTTTAGAATCTAATTCTGTTGCTTAACTTAATAAGTAAAACACTTGCATATTGCACTTGTAAGCATTCGTGAAGGCTGTTTTTATCATATTGTCACAGACTCAGTGACTGATGAGGGTTGTCATGCCAGGCTGTGTTGGAAGACTTATACAAATGTTTGCACGAGACCCATTCAATCTATACAGGAGATCTGATTATATGGAACATCTGTGCTGTATTTATGTTTGTGTCCCTGTGTCCAGACAAATGTTTCTTATATAATCTGACAGCTGATGACCTTTGTAGTTTGGATCCACCACTAACATGCATGCATGCATTAATGAGCTGTAAAACAAGTTGGGGTGGTAAGTTATTGGTGGTAGTAATGTTAACCTTTTTGCCTTATCATTTGACTTACATGCGCTTTCTCATTCAGACATGCATCCAATGCTATTCCAAACAAGTTATCCTATCCAGATTGTAGAAGGCATAAACACGCCATATCATATACATAAGTACAATTTGTCGGTAACCTGCGTTGACCTGCAGGTTGAACTTGAAAAAAGCTCTGCGGTGCAAGGCAGCAGAACTAATGGGTAATTCTAGTACACATTTTTAATGCATTCAAATAGGTGCTTTTGAAAGATAGGTCAATACTGGACAGGTTTAAAGCCTTCAGGGGCTCTTATTAACGATAATTTATTATGCTCACGTAGAGGCACAAACTATGGCAGTGGCTGGAAAAAAATCATTTGACCACGTGAACAAAAGCACGTACACATAACATGACCTCAAACACAATAAGCCATTATAACGATCCCTTGACAAAGTGCTAATGTGCATTCCTGTGTGTGTGTGTGAGCTGTGAATGCTTTGGTATTGTATATAATGTCCTTGGGAATAGGAGATTTTCAGAGATTACATTAGTGAGAGTTCATTTTAACTATGGAACCTTTGTCTGCAATTTCAAAAACAAGAGTGATTTTGTACTGTGTGCTTTCATAATTAATTCAACTTGTCATTTTTGTAATGCAACTTAATTTGTTTTATAAAACCTCTCCAAAAATGCTCCTTTTTTTAAGATTTAGAAAAACTCATTCTGACAACACAAAAAAGAGGTGAAATTGTTATTTTTAGAAATGTTATCTGATTTAAAAGTAAAGTCATTAAAGTAAAAAAGATAATAAACAATATTATGGCAAACAGTTAAGCTTTTGTATACTCCATATGTAGGCCATGTTTGCTCTAGAACAGGTATTTTACCTGCCCAATGCAAACAGTGTTTAAGTGGTGTGTATTGATGCTGTCAAGTTCAGGATGTTGTTTAGCACCTCAGATCGTCTTGTGTATACAGCATGCCTGACAAATATAAAAAACAGGAAGACACACTTCAATATCTGCAGGCTATCAATGATGGTTTTGTAGCACACAAGTTACGTAAGTGATGCAATGCAAAATAGGCCTGGCGCTGCAGGGGTCAAAAGCCCTGTGTTGTGTTGTTTTAAGAAGTAAATGATTTAGGAGTTTTAGAATCTCAACTTTCAGCATTGTAATGGTTTCTAAATAAATCCATCTCACTGTCACAGAGCTTTAATTAACATTACCTAGAGACACGTGCACAAACATGCCATGGAAAAAACAGCACCAGATAACTGCTGCAAGTGCCGTCTGCTTGCTCAAACCATGGCTCAAACACATTGGTTGAGGAAATGAATTTGTGTGCGTGTGTGTCTGCGTGTGTATCCTGATCTATTCTTAGCCTTCTTTTTGTGGTCCATGTAGCCTTGGAGGGCTTAGGGATATTTACGTAAGAGAGAGAGAGAGAGATTGGCCTCCCAGATCACCAGTCCAGAGGGGCACACACACACACACACACACACACACACACACACACACACACACACACACACACTCGTGACCCCAGCTTGCATGATGGCACTGTCCAAACTCCCACACAGCCTTGCAGTAGATGAACAAGCTTCTTTCATAAACATATCACATATTTTAACAAAAACTGACAAGATTTTGAGTGACTCAGGATTGACCCCCTTTTCTCTTTCTCTCTTCTCTGTTCCCTTTACTCCATCAAAGACCATATGTCTTCTCCCTGCTGACATCTCTCACTCACAACAAATCAGCTCTCTTCTGCCTTTTCGGTCCCACCTTATCTATGATCTATATTAGTATGTAAGTACAGGAAATCAATACTTCTTTCTCTCCCTCTCCTTTAGGTCTGATGTTGTTGTGCTTTGCTTCTCTCTGGCAAATCCCAATTCCCTGCGCCATGTACGCACCATGTGGTTCCCGGAGATTAAGCACTTTTGTCCCCGGACACCCATCATTCTGGTTGGCTGCCAGCTGGATCTGCGCTATGCCGACCTGGATGCAGTTAACCGTGCACGACGACCACTAGCCAAGTGAGAAGCCTTCTTCATCAGGCATTAACAGGCATATTCATTATAGGAAATGCGCCACTGACGTTTTTTTAAGTGAGGGTTGCGTGTGTGATTGCTCCAGTAAATCTAGATAAGTATAAGCTTTGTAAACATTGTTTGGCTGTGAGTAATTTAAATAATTAACTTCCATCCCAATTGTTCCATCATATCAATAAAGTGAAGTTAGATCTTAAAATGTGTACTGAGATGAAGACATCACATTATTGATTTGTGCAAATTGTATAAAAGATACTCACTTCCTGTTTTCTTGTACTTCTTTTTTTACTTGCAAACACTGCCTTCTTTTACATCATTATCTCTTCCTGTCCCACAGACCGATCAAACCTACTGATATCCTTCCCCCGGAGAGAGGCCATGAAGTGGCAAAGGAACTTGGGATTCCTTACTTTGAGACCAGCATTGTTGCCCAGTTTGGAGTCAAAGATGTTTTTGACAATGCCATCCGAGCCGCCCTCATCTCCCGTCGTCACCTGCAGTTCTGGAAGTCCCACCTGAAAAGGGTCCAGAGGCCTCTCCTCCAGGCCCCCTTCCTGCCTCCCCGCCCACCTCGCCCCATCGTGGGCATCCCAGACCCCCCTCCCACAGATGGCGAAGGCCCAGATTCCCTTTTCTGCCAGCCACTGTGTACAGATGTTCTTTTTCTTCTGCATGGTGGTGCCACTCGCGTATTTGCACACAAAGTATATCTGGCTACTTCCTGCTCAAAGTTTAATGACCTCTTTACTCTTGATCTTGGTGGATCCTGCATGGTGTCACAGGGGGAGGAGCAGGAGAGGAAGGACAACTTGGAGAGTGGGGAGGAAGATGAACAGAGCAGGAGAGGAGCCAAGGAGCAAGCTGGGCGCACCAAGAGCCTGGACATTGATAAAGATGGGGCTGATGGAGGGGTTCACGGCCTGAATCGCCCCCAGCTGCTGCAGCAGGGCTCTCTGAGGACTTCACAGAGTGATAATGCACTCCCCTCTCGAGCCCACTACTCCCTGGGAGCACTAGGGACTGGCCGTGCACTTTCAGGATGGGGAAGGGGGTTCCTGAGTGTGTGTCTGGAGCATGTTGATGATCCCATGACTGGACAACCACGACTCATGACTGTGGTAGCCATGGATGCACTTATACAGGAAGAACCATTCAAGGTGATAGACCTAAAGATGACTAAGATATATTCATGCATTATTGGGTAAAATAATATACATCTGTTGATGTGATTATTATTACAGATGTTTTTTTGGTGTTTCACAGTTGTTCCAAAGCTGTGTGTTTGCTCTGGTTTCAGGCAGTGCTTCAGTACCTGTACACAGGCAGTCTGGATGAGGGCAGGGGGGATCTGATGCAGATAGCCACCATCGCAGAGCTACTTGAGGTGTTTGACCTCCGGATGATGGTTGCCAATGTTCTCAACAGAGAGAGCTTCATGAACCAGGAGATCACCAAGGCGTTCCACGTCCGCAGAGCCAACCGTATCAAGGAGTGTCTCAATAAAGGGACCTTTGCTGGTAAACCAGAGTGCCAACCATTCAGCACATTAATACTTTCAATAGCATTAGTGTGTGTAGATGTTTTCCATATATGCATTAGTAGGTGCGTGCATGTGTGGGTGTACAGTATGTGTGTGTGAATCGTGGAAGATTAAGAAAAGCTGATGGAGTGAATGTGCAAGACTGTTTTGCTAATTTCCAGCATTCTTTCAGTCTCTGAAAATGTACACTCTGTACATTTTTATACATGTTGTGAACATTTTGATCATATATTTGACATAGAATATTTGCTATAAAATATTAACTGTTTGTTGTGGTCGTGGTTTGCCAGTTTTTTACTTCCTTTTAAAGCCATTAGGTGATTTAATGAGTGTTGTTTAGTCTGGTCATTTGTTCGCTCTTGTGTGCTTCCTGTGTCTTGTGTTTGTGTGGTGTTGTCCTACTAAGCTGTTATGTATGCATGTTTTCACAGTATTTGCAGGCAGAGCCAAACATCAGCTGTCTCAAAACAAAGCCCGTCTCACATTCACTTCTTTCTGTACTTTCTGTACTTTCTCTGTTCATCTTTATGGTTTTAACAATGGGATTTTTTCTTTAAAATGCTTATAGGAAATGATATTGATAAACAAAGATATCAGAACAATTCTATAATGAGATCTGCTTTATCCAAACTTTATTCAAGGATTGAATATAAAATATAGAACATCTTTGCTTATAGATTTAGCCCATTATGACATTTTAACACTAACAGGGTTGTTCTCTATCAACATGTTCCCTTCCAAAGCTCTAGACCAGAGTCCACACAGGATTTACTGCTTGACCTACTACCCTGCGCCTGCTCTCTTTCCCTTACTCTGTGTCAAAAGCTGTTCTGTCTTTCTGTCAATTTATCTCTCTGTCTGTCTACCTGTGTCTATGTCTCTGTGTGTCTGTCTCTCTGTCTGGCCTTCTGCCTGCCTGTGTGTGTGTGTGTGTGTGTCTGGACGTCTGCCTTGTCTGTCTTTCCCCCTCTGTAGCTTGGGCTTCTGTGGCACTCCACGAGATGAATGCTCTTTTCCACCCCGGTTTTAGATGTGGTGTTCCGCCTGGATGATGGCTGCCTCCCGGCTCACAAGCCCCTGCTCATCTCCAGCTGCAACTGGATGGCTGCCATGTTCCGTGGCTCTTTCATGGAAAGCTACATTGAGGAGGTGAGTTAAGACAACTAAATTAATTTAGGCGAGTTGCCTTAAGTTTTGAGCAGGGATTTAGTTTCTGTTTCCTTAATCTTTGGAAGAAAACTCAGGTCAGACTTTAGGGGAATCTAATCGCACAGTAACATATGATAAAAGAAGAGATTAGGCAAAGGTGAAGGGGATAAGGTTGTACTCTGGAAATGTCTGACCTTCAAAACATTGTACAACCTGCACATGTGTACTTCTGGTATGTAAAGGTTTACTGCTCTGGATGCCTAAGGCCTGTTATCAGATTGACGTACAAACCATTTTTTTTACCTGCAAATGTGGTTCATGTTCTGCAATTACTAGACCCCAGGAGGTCATGCATACACAATTAGCACATATTGAATGTACCTACAGGAACATTTACATGTAAAACACTTTTTCACACACCCTGCGATAGCAGATGTTGAACTAACCTAATCTCAGTACTCAAAGTAGGCCCAGAATAGTACTTCTTTTGAGATCAGAATCCTCTTAAGTGGCAGGTCTGGTTACATCAGGTGTGCTTTCACCTGAGGATAAGCTTCAGGCCGTCTTCTGCCTCCTGCAAGGCCAGTGCCTGTGCATCGGACCTGACCTTGTCATAGAGGAAGTTCATGTCTCCGTCTGTCTTTAGGTCGGAGCTCCCCGGACTGTGTTGCAGAACCAGATTCCCTGGGGTATGGTTACTTTTGAGGTCAGCAGGATTTTGGTTACATAGGTTCAGGCCCTCAGAGGGATTGGAAGTAATCAGAGAGAGACAGACAAGTAACACAACTGTTGCATGGTCAGTTTAAGTTTAAAGCTCAACGTTATTGAAGGCATGTGAGAAGAAATAAACCATTTTGTTTTCATGAGGATGGCATGGATGGTTTTTCTAAGACACACCATGCTAGTGGGAGTGAAAAAAACAATTGCGGCTATTGTGGACGATGGTGAAAACAGGACATCAGCATCAGTGAGGGGGCACAGTGTTTTCTGCCGGTGGGCTGCCGGTGTCTATGGTTACTCTAAACGTTTCATGTCAGTGACTATTGTGGCATTGTTTATGGCCTGAGGCTGGCAAAGAAGGCAGGTGCCCTCGAGACAAAGACTGAAAGGCAGAATGCACAACAAGCTGTGGGCACCAGTATTTATATTTTCATGTATCTGCATTTTTCTTGCAAAGCTTTTCTTTGCTAATTAGTGAATGTGATTTTTATATGTAAACCAAAAACATGCCAGATTACCAGATTGTAAACTGGCATACGTATCATGTTCACTATCAGGCACTCATTTTATAAACCAAAGCCATGATTTAATATTATTGTTTAACGCATTGGAATCATATCTAAATGATTGGTTTTACAGTTATTTCAGGTAATATGTTAAAGCCATCTACCTCAGTGAACAAGCAATCAGTTTTATACAGGGGAATATTCTTAGACCTATTCCAAATAAACAAAACATTTACACTTACATAGAATTTGTCAAATTCATTCATTTTAGGACAAGAACATGAAGAATAAAACATTAAACAAGGGTTAACATGGGTTTTATATATGTGAATTATCTCAACAATAATAAAACTGTTGCTTTAGGTTCAGGAAGATTGTTATTTAAATCAATTATACAGCAAATTAATAGAACCTGTAACTATAACTGTGAAAGTAGCATGTGATCAGCCAGCGCTATGCTATTTCCTGCTCATCTCACACTTCCTTCCTGGTATTTTTAGGCTCACACATTTCAGTGTTCATGCGGTTGTGTGATAACAAGTCCAGTCTAGTTTTGTGCAGAACTGCATTAAGATAAGTGTTTAAAAGCAGGATTATTATCAGAATAACTTGTATTTTGTTAAGTATTCCTAACATTATAGACACATTACCAAGTAATCATCTTTCTGGATATCAGTCATAGTTAAAAAGGTGTTATCTATGGTGTCATAAACCACAAGTCAAAATAAATGTTTAAGGTTTGTGTGGACCGTTGTACAGTCTCACCACTGAGTGTGTCATGGTACACCCCTGGATTATGTTCCAGGTGTCTGGTTTTGTGTTCATCATCGAAGTGTGCGTCCCAGTAGAGTGTGACAAGTTGAGAAGTCTGTTCCTTTCTTGTTCTGCTCAAGAAAAAAGACTGCAGATTTGACAGGATTTCTTTAATCTATGAAGACTTTTTTCACAGTAAAAGAAGAATAAGTCTCATTCTTACTCCTTAAACATTACATTGCATTTAGCTGACGCTTTTATCCAAAGTGACTTACAATACGTACATTCGACCAGGAAGACACAACATTGAAGAAAACAGAATCATATAAGTACATCAGGTTTCATAGAGCCAAACATTTCAAGTGCTACTCAACTGGCTTTAGATAAGCCAGCCCTTTATTAGTATATAAGTGCTTCGTTAATAGTTCTATCGCTCAAAGTGGAGTCGAAAGAGATGAGTTTTCAGTCTGCGCCGGAAGATGTGCAAGCTATCTGCTGTCCTGATGTCAATGGGGAGCTCATTCCACCATCTTGGAGCCAGGATAGCAAACCCACGTGTTTTTGCTGATGGGAACTTGGGTCCCCCTCGCAGCGAGTCGTTTGGCTGATGCAGAGCGTAGTGCACGCGCTGGGGTGTACAGTTTAACCATGTCCTGGATGTACGAAGGGCCAGATCCATTCGCAGCATGGTAAGCAAGTACCAGTGTCTTGAAGTGGATTCTAGCAGTTACTGGAAGCCAGTGAAGGGAGTGGTGTGGGAAAATTTAGGAAGGTTGAAGACCAGACGAGCCGCTGCATTCTGGGTGAGCTGCAGAGGTCGGATGGCACATGCAGGTAGACCAGCCAGGAGGGAGTTACAGTAGTCTAGGCGTGAGATGACGAGAGCCTGGACCAGAACCTGCGTCACTTTCTGTGTCAGCTGGGGACCATCCTTATCTTTGGTGGTGGCTGTGTGACTATGCTTCTCTCTCACCCACACATTATTTTAAATATTTTCAACTCATTACGTCTCTAAATGTTCTATTGCGTTGAGTTGAAGTGATGTCCTTGAAGGGCTAATCTATTGTATCTGTTGTTATGCAAATAAAATAAACTTGCACTAAACTAGTTATTGAGCTCTAGTACAGCAGACCAAGAGAACACCTGTCAGCATAGCTCATTGGTGTTATCCATACATGTCCTTTCAATGTGAATGTATCCACTCACTATTGCTTCCTGGCCTCAGCTGGGGCTTCATGCTCTAGAGACCACCCTTGTCTTGGTGTTGTGACTTTTCAGTCATAACGAGAGGTCGCGCCAGCTGACATTCTCTTAATTGGCTATGGTAATGGGAGTTGAAGAGCGTCTCTGTGGGGACACTCGGAGGGAGAGCTCCTGGAGGGGGCCGGTCATCACTTGCCTCAGCATTAACCTTCCTTCCACCCTTCCTGGGGTTAGACTGCATTACCTGTCGCTGAAATGCCCGGCTATCAGTAATTAGGCCTGTTTGAAGGTCAAGCTGTTTTTTATGCATGTATGTATATCTCTACCAAGTGGAGAAGTGGTACAAACAAAAGAGAAGCATGACCAGGGGCCCTTTAGTAGCCATGGCGATGGTATGGCGACATCTAGAGGTCATTGCTTGTGATTGCTTTTATGTGGACTCGAAATATATGTTGTATTCGCCTTTACTGACTTTACCTCTGTGTGTCTGTTGTAAAGTCATCACTTACAGTTGCTACCTTTTTAAGTACATCTCTAGACATGCTGATGCATGTATCTCAGGAGAACATTGAGTCTATGCGAGTGCTTCCAGGGTCAGATAACAGGGTTGCCTTTGTCTGCTTTGGGGTGTTTAGCCATATTGACAACATGCTTTCCACCAACCATCACTTTTATCTGAGTCTAGATCAAAGAAAATGGAACCAGAAAATATCTTCTGCCCGTTACCTCCAAAAACCCACTGCACTGGTTTCTTTGATAGTACTTTGATAGCACACAGATTTACCTCAGCACCAAATCCCCCCCAACACCCCCCCCCCCCCCCACCCCCCCCCCCCCCCCCCCCCCCCCCCCCCCCCTCACCCACATTGAATCCTATCTGACTGCAATAAAATCCTGGATGCAACACAACTTCCTCAAACTCAACAGCTATAAAACTGAACTCCTCCTCATCGGCTCCACCCTCAGCAAAACCCCCAACCTGACAGTCACCATTGAGGCACCCCTGTTTTCCCCTCCACCCAGGCACGCAACCTTGGCGTTATATTTGACCCCACCCTCTCCCTCGAGCCCCACATCCGTCAAGTTATAAAAACCTCATTTTTCCACCTCCGCAATATTGCCAAACTCCGTCCCTCTCTCACCCGCCCTGCAGCTGAGCGACTCATTCACGCCTTCATCTCCTCCCACCTTGACTATTGCAACTCACTCCTCTACGGCATCAGCACTACATCCCTCAATAGACTCCAGCATGTCCAGAACGCAGCCGCCAGACTCCTCACCCACACCAAATCATGGCATCACATCACCCCGGTCCTCAAAGAACTCCACTGGCTCCCTGTTTCACACCGCAACCATTACAAACTCCTGGTCCTCACTTACAAAGCCCTCCACCATCTGCCCCCCCCCCCCCCTACCTCACTGACCTCCTCATCCTCTACCAACCACCCCGGTCCCTCAGATCCACCTCAGCCGGTTTGCTTTCCATCCCCAAGGCCAAACTCCGAAGCTTCGGGGATAGAGCCTTCTCTGTGGCAGCCCCGAAGCTCTGGAGCTCCCTCCCCCAATACCTCTGTGAGTCTGAGTCCCTCACCCTGTTCCAGTCCCGTCTCAAAACCCACCTCTTCAACTCTGTATCCATAAGCCCCCCCCCCCCCCCTCTCAACCAACTTCCTCCTGACTGCTTTTCTGTTTTGTTTTGTTTCTTTTTGTTTTTGTTTTGTTTGTCTACCCCTCCCTCCCAAATGTAAAGCGTCTTTGGGTTCAAGAAAAACGCTATAGAAATAAAATGTATTATTATTACTCTTTCGACCATACACCATTTCTAGCCATTACATTAAAGCCTACATTTAAGTCCCTAATTTCCACATTGACATACAGCTCTTCATTACTCTTCATTTTTGTTTTGTTTTATCTTGGTCTTGTCATTTTCAGGTCTCCATCCCTAACACCAGCGAAGCCTGTATGCGCGGGGTGTTGGAGTTCCTGTACTGCAGTCTGCTGACACCTTCTCCTGGGCTGGAGCCCATGGAGCTCATTATTCTCGCCAACCGTCTGTGTTTGCCCCGCCTTGTCGCCCTCACAGGTAAAGACTGCATCTGCAGTAATAGAAATGTTGCAAAGAGAACTACCTATTTATTTGTCTATTTCTAACAACATGTGGCAGGACATGGTTTTGAAAGAGCTTTATTTCTGTTTGCACAAAATGCCTTTTATCAATGGCTCAAAAATATTGGAAGTGCAGAGAGTAGTGGTCAATGCAGACTGCAAGACAGACCCAGACTGTATGACTGGAAGATACAAATGTGTCATGTCAGTGGTGCATGTAAAAAGTTATATTGACATGATTAGGAACATTTTGTGCATTTTCAGAACAGCACGCTGTGGATGAGCTTCTCCAGTTGTCAGCGAAGGGAGGTGACATCGATGGACAAGTGTTGGCTTACCTCGAGCTTGCACAGGTTTGTTCATACAAAACTGTCTATTTACTTTTATCCCATTGATCTTAATATGATCAATAGTTTGTTTCTTACCTTTTTAAGGGCTTTTTCTTCTAAAGCTGTACAATAACATCTTTAACAAGTATTTTTCTTCTGTTTTTGCAGTTCCACAATGCCAAGCAACTATCAGCTTGGTGTCTCCATCACATCTGCACAAATTACAATAGCATCTGCCGCAAGTTCCCCAAAGAAATGAAGGTCATGTCTCCAGGTAAAGTCACCTCCCCCTGATAATCTGCCTTTCACACATTCAGCTTTCCCCTCAGTTAATCTATTACACATTTTGAAACTTGTTTAAGCATTTGGTTAGAGTGGGAGAGATGTATTTTTATTTGTTTGGTAAAACGAAAGGAAAGAAAGAATCCCTCATGAGCTGTTTTCTGTCTAACATCAGGTACATTATAGTAGACCACATCAAATCAAACATTTCATGAAGGTGTGAATTCATTTTACTATTAGGTTGTAATGTGATCCCGAGGAAGCAGAACTACTGCTCGAAAGTAAAACACTTTGATCTCATGGGTTTAATGCGTGAAATAATCTTTAGTGGCCTCACCTTATTCACTTGTCCTCACACCTTTATTGCTGTTGTGTCTTTGTCTCGTCTTTTTTATGTCATTATTATTCCTTTAAACTTTTATAGCTTTATTATGTAGTGGCTCTTTCATCCACTCTTTTACGGCATCAATGGATTATTGAAGTGACACCTGAAATCCTAAATCCTTCATCTTTTTGATCACCTTTTCTGTACATGTCTTTGTCCCCCTCTCTGTAGATAACCAGAGGCACTTTGAGAAGCAGCGCTGGCCTCCTGTGTGGTTCCTGAAGGAGGAGGACCGCTATCTGCGCTCACAGAAAGAGCGCGAGCGTGAGGAGGAGATCTTACGCAAGCAGCACACCAAACGGGGCTGGTGTTTCTGGAAACATCCGTCCTCCTCTCCCCACGTCTCCTAAACGGTTTCTCCCATACTGTTCTTCATCCTGACCCGGATCATCCTAGCCCTGAATAACTAACCCCCCCTGTAACACATATAGAGGATGTGGCTTTGAGTCCTCCAGCAGTGGCGAAATGACTCTCAGTGCTACTACGCCTGAATGTCAGCATGTTTGGGGGAATGTATGTGCCTCTTTATAATTGTGGGTGACTTCATGAGTGCATTTTGGTAAGCTTGTGTGAAAAGTTAGGATTTAACTAAAGGGTATGTGCGTTGATGTGTGAGTGTATGTTTGTGGTTGGAATGATCGAGTAATGCTTCCGAGTTTATGCTTCCCAAACGCCCTGATCTATAAGGGCAGCAGCGTTGCATTGCAGCCCCTTGTCCCCTTCACAAGAGCTCCGCCCCCCCACCAGCACTCACAGTGTCCCAGCCTTTGAGTGATTGGACAGGGACCAAGGGCTCTTTATCTCTCTCAGTCTCCTTCCTTCACATTGACCTTAATGACTATACACATTAACCACTGCTGCTTCTCTCTGGAAGCTTACCTCTGCCTTCACTTCTACGCAGACTGTTAGCTTGCACATGCAGACTGGTGCAAAAGATCCTGCGCTTTAAAACCAGCACTGGAATCCCAGGAACTGACACTTAACAATGTAATTATTATACTATATTATTTGATATTATTTGATCTTTTTATCTGCACCTTCTTGGACACTTATCAGGGGAAATGACACACTACTCCCAGGAAGTGAACCTTGATTACCATTGCAACGATGGGACTGTTCATCTGGAGCCTTAGTTTGGTAACCCTAAATCTGTTGGCAATTCGGGATGCTCCAGTCAGAAGGCTTGATCATAGCTATTAGCCTCCAGTCTAGTATTGAAGTGGTCCTTGGTGTTCATCATCCACCCCTGCAACTCCCACCGCCTCCTCCTGCACACCACATGCGCATAAATGAGAAACACAAGCTCTCCTTGGTTGGATTCACCAATATGCACTTCAGAGACATTGAAAGTGACCACTCTATAGCAATGATGGGGGTAAAGAGGGCTCGCCTTACTCGATGCCTCTGCCATTGAGGAATGATGGATGCAGTATTAAACAAATGTGCGTGTTACGTCCATTGCACCTCAGCCAGCCTGCCTTTACACCACTACACCACTAGGGGCAGCACTGCTCAGGGCCCCGGCACTAACCTTCACACTAACAGGAGTTTTTGTGCCTGCGCTTGCGTTACTCTAGTTTAAGTTATTGAGTTTAGTATAACTTAAATCCTTGCAGAGTGTTGAGAGAAGGCTAAGGCCCAGTGTTAATAGTGCATTTTAAAAACTGAGTTAATGTGACTATTCATTTTCACGTAATTCTGAAAACCAAAGCTGTGATTGTTTTGATCGTTTTCTTTCTCACTTCCCTCTTTTCTGATTCCCTGCTTCCTATAGGGATGGAGGAGAAAAGAGTAAGTGGCTTGTGGGGGATGGAGGCCGTATGGTATTTTAATCCCTTCTCGTGGTGTTTTCAGCCTGTGGTGTCAGGAGAAATTTATAACTGCTGGACATTGCCTTCCATTTGTTTTGCTGGAATTGAAAATGGTGCTTAAGACACAATAAGACAGTATGCACATGAACAAACACACAAACATTGGATTTTATGTTCACAGTTTAGCATGTATCTAGTTGTTTAGTGTTGGCCTGCGATTAACGGGCAACATATTAATGATGGTATTCAACTTTGTCATTGTTTGACCTTACATTTTCTTCTCCAAATGCTAGTCTCTAAGAGGTCTTAATAGGTTGTTCATTTTAGAATGTGTAGATTTCTCATTTTACATACAGTGGTAACAACTTTAAAGGGTTTGAAATCCTACTGAATTCAAAAACATTGGTGTGTTCGGTTATGCTTCATTGTTAACCAGGAAAATAATATGACCTTAGATTGAATTTGAAATTGTGAGTTCCTCTCAAAGGATTTGATATATTTCTGCAGATGAAAGCAAATGATTTTCTCGTTAAGGGTGCTAATTTCTTTGGGATTCATCACTGAATGTGAAAATGAGACTTTGCTGCGGCAAGTTTTTGCCATTAGCATGTTGTTCTATTTGTGGGTTTGCACCCCTCAGCTTTAACCAGGCAACGGTAGGAGATAGAGAGATGGTGTTAGACATGTGGTGCATTCTGACGATCACCATGGGAGGTATGTTAAAGTCATTGTCGGCTACAGAAATAGAAGTCAGACAGGATCCCACGAGACCCAAGTGAGATTGAGCTGATTCCTTTCAGAAAAGAGTGAAAGTGGTGGAACAATTTAACAAGTCTCAGCCAGCATTACATGCAACCTACATAATTTGGATGTACTACCGTTTCAAATTCATCCCATTGCATTGCTTTGGGAATTAAGAAATAAAATAAAGGCTTGGACAGTTTCTGATTGACTTCCATGGGCACCTTTTAGTTTCTAATAGAAGGGGTGGCTATTAGCTTTGGCTTATTGATGGTTGGAATGACCCATTAAGACTCTTCTTGTGGTCTGTGTGCCTTATAGTTGGACAAAACAAAAAATTAGATTGGGATTTTAGCGAGATCTTAGTTTAAACACGCAGACAGGTGCTGCAGTGTTTGACATGATGGATACAGTGTACAATGTTCATGATAGTTTAAGAGCTGTAAAATGGATGACCGTGTTGCTATATACACTCTTAGCCATTATAGTTCCTGAGGGGATTTTTGAGCCAACTGGCGCCATGCCTGTGGACAATATGCAGGCCTGCTGCTGGTTTATATGCAGACAAATGGCCTTAAATGAAACTCTTTGTAGAGTGTAGTACAGTAGGTTCGACTAATCATATAGCCTTGAATAAGCATGTTTTCCAGATTGGTAATAAAGTGGATGAACAATGACACCATGGTTGGACATTTCCACTGTTGATTGAGAGGTAGTGATACAATTGGACTTACAGGTTGATTCCTATACTGTAACTTCAAAACCACTGACTTTGAGAAAACAAAGCTTTTTAATGAGCACTGGCTGGCCTGTGTGCTGGAAAAGTGCTACTACTTTAACATTGTGGTTGATTTGCATGGTGGCCTAACTTTGTCATTATAATGACACTTGGTGTTGGAATGCACTTTCTTCTTTTTTTGTATATGACTATACCTTTCTGTGCTTAGCATGAATTGTTCCTTATGTAAGATTGTTTTTGAAACCTGATGATTGTAGCATGATATTTCCACTTAAGTCTTTCAGAATTTCCTAAAATTTGCTCAGTGATGAGCTGAAAAACACGACAATGTCCAGCTTCTTTACTTAGTTGGTAACAAACCCCACAGTAGCTGTGGCTTTATGCACAACTCAGTGTTAAGAAATAAACTCAGCACAGCTCAAGGTAGCATCACTAATTATAAAACATGCTGGGACATTTGGTTGAAAAAAAGGCAATGCAGAGGATCTGTTGCTGCTGTGCAGCTGTCCCCATTATGCTGTTTACTGTATTTACTGCAATCAATTAAGCCTGTTCTTGTGATTTGTAAGATACTGGGTACAGGGCCAAACCTGAAAACCATCATAGCAACATTTACATTTAAATCATGCTCTGTTATGCAAATATTTTTAAGAATTTCCCAATTGGCTAAAGGCCAAGTGTAATGTCTGGGTTTAGCCTGTATGTATTTATATATACAGTCTATGGTAATGACAGATGAATGGGGTAAAACATGATGTATGTTTCTGTTGTTAGACAGATGCATGAGTATATACAGCAGCGTTTCTTAACCTTTGGGTCAGGATCCTATTTCAGGTCACTTGGTATGCATTTGGTGTAGTGGGATATTTCTTAAACTAAAAAATGATATTATTTAATAAATGATCATAATCAGTATAATATTTATTTTTAGAGATGTTAACCTCCAGTTCATGACATCTTAAGAATTCTCTAATAAATATTATACATTCAAAATGTTGGGATAAAGAGACGGGGTCATGGGCCACAAAAGGTTAAGAAACCCTGATATACAGAGAGGGAGAAACGGAGATTCTACATTTGAACTTTTAAACCTTGTTGGCTTTATTCAGCCCTCAGTTTATGCTCCACACTGACCCCTACGGGCCAAAGCCACACTGAGAGTGGGAGATACGGTTTTGGTATTCATCCTGATTGTCTTGTTCTATCCTATCACATCCTTTTTACTGTCACATTCGCTTTTCTTCCTTCTCCGCAGGTCTGGCCTTCCTTTTTAAATGTCAGACCTAGTGATTGAGAGAACACCTTGTTTTTAGTCTTTGGTGTGTCCTTTCCTGTGCCTTCAGTGAAATCTCACTCTTGGCTCTGTACAGGCTGGCGGCGCTGCACCTGCAGCCTCTTGGGCTCAATATAAAGTTGATCAAGCCAAGAAATACCCACCTAAGCACAGAAATAAAAGTAGGCAGCTTTCTTTAATGTACATTATCTTAGCACTGGCTATTTGGGTCTTAGTGAAAACTTCCAATTATGACACAGAAATGGAGCTTTACAGCATGGTATTTCATCTATGCTAAAGCTGCACAACTTAAATCATGAAATGACCAAGAAACCCAGCAAACCAGCAGTTTTAAAATAATGTTTTGCACTCTTTCAGGTGCCTGCACTTTCTATTATGTAGCTTAATACATCATTTTTGATAAGTATGTTAAGTCTTTATATTTACCAGTTTTCTTCATCCAAGTAAAATATATTATTTATTTTCCACTTTTGTGTGATATATTTCTCTCCAAGCCAAATGTAATAGTTTACCTTAATGCTTCCACTATTTAGCAGCAATGTATTAAGTTGCAATCCGGCATAAAATCAGATGGGGATCATATTTGGACTACTGGTTGGATAAAAGGCAGATATTAGCTGTGAGTGACAACTAAATATATTATGCTTTAATTATGATAGTTGTTATCCAAAGTACAGTAAACTGTTGTCATTTTGAGTCACAGCTGGATTTATCCGTTCACTTTATAACTGTCACCACACTGTATTAATATACTAAGCTGTATGCTGTATAGGATTGTAAGCACAGAAAGGAGAGAGAGTGTTTGTATAGACACACGACATGTGATTAATCCTAGGTCTATATACTGTCATTCTTAAGTGGAACGTGTAAACTGTATGTATTGTTACAAACTTTAGTTTCCATTGACTCATACATTGAGTTGTATTAACATTTACTGCTTATATAATTGTGTGTATTACAACAACAGGCAAAAGAAAGAACATACCACACTCACAAAACTATTAAGGGCTTTCAAGAAAACATACAACAATCAGAATGTTTTGCTGCTGTTGCAAAAATGTTTTGGAATTTAAAATTTGTAATATTTTTCAACCACTGTGATTTGTACAATATTTAAAAAAAAAAAAAAAAGTTAGAAAAAGTTGTTTTCCTTTTATGCCATTTCAGTATTTTGATGTTTGACATGGATTTTATTAAACTGTTAATCTTTTGAACTTGTCTGATATTTGTGATATTGTGTTTTATGTATAATGTATGTCTTTCTGATATAAAAGCGTGTTCTTTTCTGGACTTAATGATACTCAATTTCAAGATGCAATTCAATTGCATAATTTAACCTTTATTTAGGGTAAGACCCACAAAACAATATAAAACATTAACAACCAACATAAAATCAACGATCAACTCTCATATCCTACATACAGCGTGTTAAAACCCTAAAACTAATTAAAAACACCAACCATCAATAATCAATTGTAATATTGACATGGAATAACTATTTAAAGCATTCACAGAACTCACCATCACCTTTATTCATTAAGGAGGAAATGATAAAAGTAAATACAATATAACTAAGGCAAGTTACCGTACAAGTGATGATGGATTTTTGGTGAAACTATATTGCAGTAAGTGTCTCTTTTAACCGTTCAACATATCAAAGGAAAGGAAAAGGAAAGCAGGAAACAGTATAGATCCCCCTCCTGAACCCAAAGTCTCCCACAATGCATGCAAACTTACACATTTGATGCAACTGTGCCACCTAGTGGAAAGAAACTGTACTATGATTCATGTAATACATTTTCTTTTGGGAATAGATTCAAAACCTATTCTATTTGTTTTGCGTATGTATTGCCACCCAGGGTACAGCAGTTCAAGGTTTTCTGGCAGCCTCTCTACGATAAGCAGGGGATTCTTTGAATGATTTACAATACCCAGAGGTTTAGGCCCTCTGAGATGCCCAAAAGAAAGATCATTGATGATAAATGTTTTACTTCACAAGAGTTACCTGAATTAATTCATGTTGAGGTGTACATGGATATACGCATGTAAATCATCATGCTTTATTGATTGATCTTGATTGTAATTAAAATACAATTAGGAAAAACATGTGAAACACCACAATCATCTTCTATCTTATCATCAATGCCTTATTTGCTCAGTTATCATTTTAAAAGATGTCCTCGAAATATTCTAGGAATTGCGCTGTTTTAAATGTTTATACCTTTATTTTATTTTGACATTTTCTTGAAAACTAAATCAGATTGAATCAGCAACTCCCTTCCATGAAGGGGTTCCTTCAGCACATGCATCATCAAGATCAACATGCTGTGAGCAGAGACTTTTAATAGAGCAAATCTGGTGAGGGATCCCAGAAAGCCACAGAAACATGGGGGAGTGGGCCGAGTGTTCCCATGGTGATGTTTAGTGATGTGGCTGATGATGAGAAACTTGATGAGGTAAGATGGCGGTTGTGGGAAATTGAACATGTGTGTCCATATGCCATCATAACACATGTGTTTGCATGTGTGTTATAAGACTTCTTGGAAAACACAGCAGTAAACCTGCATTAATATGCCTTGACAACCAATGACGCACAACAGTTCCCTCTTACTCTAGTAAATTGAGATATTTACTAGAGGGTGTTCTGCAGCGGAGACCTCAGCATCATCCATGGTCACGAGCATCGGTTTGAACACTGATTACAGACCTTTATGCTGGGTCAGCTGTTTGATCTGTAAGCTGTGTTCAAGTTTCCCAACAACTTTGCCCCTCCTCTCGCACCGCAGCATCGGAGAACACAGCTTAAGATTCACAGACACGTGCTGACATGACAACATCTGGCTCTCATTTAGCAGGGCTCCCCTGGGAGTATAAGAAGATCTGAATCTGAGAGAAAAAGACAAAACACTGTAATATATATATAATATAGGATGTTTGATTTAGGACAGCACTTTTTTATGTTCACAGTCTTAGTTGATCAAGGGTAGGATTGTATTTGAGCAGAGTTTCAAAGCTTCCATGGCTACAATCATAAACCTTACACACATAAAATATCACACACATTTCGTGGACATTTTATAAGTGGACCAACTTAGAAATGAGGTCACTTGGTTAAGGAGTGACCGACACATTCCTTCCTCTATTTTACCGTCCTTCAAGTGTCATCTAATCTCATCTATTTGTTGTTGGTCCAGACCTCCCGAAGCTCTGCTCCATAAACAAAACTGTCTGCCCCCCCCCCCAGCATGCACACACCTCTAAATCAAGTCCTCTCAGAGCAAAGTTTATGAATACCTTGTCATCCTGACACCACGGTCTAATTTAAGGCCTGTTTCGTATAGGAGGCGGACATGGAGTTCCTTTTTTAACAAAGATTTGTGGTCTCTTTCTATTTCTGCATAACCCTGCTATTTGCTTATGCTTGTCATATTTCACTTTAGCAAGGCAACCTCAAAGACTTGAGGCGGTAAAAAGCTTATGTTTAAGCGCAGTTAAGGTGAGAATGAAGCAGTTTACAAAGAAAGTGCAAATCTAACAAATGCAAACAAAGACTCTCTCTCTCTCTCTCTCTCTCTCACACACACACACACACACACACACACACACACACACACACACACACACACACACACACACACACACACACACACACACACACACACACACACACACACACACACACACACACACACACACACACACACACACACACACACACACACACACACACACACACACAGAGGCTCAAGGGGAAGATATCTCAAGGGTGTTGTGCATAGCTGAGCAGTGATCTCACCTGGAACCCGATGAGAAGACACCCAGATTCAAAGAAAATGTGCAGACCTCTCTCTCTCTCTCTCTCTCTCTCACACGCACACACATAAAAGTGCATCTATGGCCATGTATTAGTGCATTGTGTCTTTTGTCCCCCTCTTTCCAACACGTATTTTGTTTCCAATTTTGCCACATATCTCTGATGCTTCTCTTTCTTGTATCACGCTGGTCTGATCTAAATAGTTTTTTAAATCCAAGTCATCTGCTGGTACGTTTGTGAGTTCAGCTATCAGATAAATGTTCACAAAACACTAGTGACACACTCCTACTCACTTGTATCATTGCCACTTGAGAGCCTCACCAACATCCATAGTTTTGAAAGACTTGTCAGGCTAGTCGAACACTTTTTACTCAGTAACATCACATAGCAAACATACATTTTCTGTCCTGAGCTTGACTGCAAAAATCTGCCATAACAAATATTTACTTCCTAAAACAGAGCTTTATTTATTATCTATTTAAAGTAATTAAAAAAAACAGGAAGGCAGAACAAATGTACTGGGATAATATACATTAAATAGTTAATATAATGCTAAGGCGGCAGGTTTACACATGCGACATTGCTTGATGGTCTCCATGGGATGAATAAATAGTATATGCAGCAAGGTCTGACTTGTTTGAAATACAACTGGCACATAAGGTACTCAAAAGTCAGGACACATTCCAGCTGTTCATGCTGTAAAACAGTAAATTCACAAGACGATGGGTTAATGTCATAGGAAAGGCTGTATTTATGACAACTTGAACAGAAGATTACAACTGTTCATACACGCAAATATGAAAGCACATGCTCACACATAAAGAGTAGGTCAATTCTGGCCTTTCATGCTGAGAGGAGAAGTGGAGAACATGTTATTAGAGAAGTATTGGACAACAAGGGGACAAAGCTCAAGCTGTGACCCCTCAACCCAAACAGATTTCTGACCTTTTGACCCCACCCATCAGGCCTGAGCACACATAAACCTGCCATGCAAGCCACGGCACATGGAAAACAGGATTTGAACCAATCCATGCCTAAGTGGTTAGTTCAGAGGTAAAAAGTTATTTTGTATGGTGAAATGGAGGCCAATATGGATAGCGATAATTTGTTGTATGATATGTAATGCCAAACATCATTAGAGCAACAGTCACATGTAATATAACTTGTTCAACAACTCAATGAATTGTCTCAGGGACTTGCTGATGAGTGGAGATTTAAAAGTGGTCTTAGAGACGGTGGGAGGATGTTGCGTGTGACTGGACCACTCAACACTTTGTCACCCACACTCTGTTAGTTTAGACTATGTCAGGAAGGCAGGAAGCTGAACCAAAAGGCTGTGACAATTAGAGGAGTTTCAGTAAATAAGGAGAAAATCCCCACTAGCACACACAACACACACACACACACAAACATCTCCAAATCCCCATTGGACATACAATCATTCCCACATTTAGACCCCATCTCCAACAACAGCTGCCACCGCACCCCAGCAAAGGAAATGCCAAAGTCCTCTGAAGTGGAGCATAACAGCATTGCAGTTCACATCCACTGTGAAGAGCTAAGAGACTGGAAGGGCAGGAGAGCCTCTAATAGCAGGAAGTTGTAAGAATAATAGCGGCATGGGGATGTCATGCCCCCTGTCCCTTTGGCATGCAAGCTTTGGCCCAAACACAATAATCTGTGTGCTTGCTCACACAGCTAGTGTAACATTTTTCACACAACTTACCTTATGAGGGTTTACCAGACGTGAGCTTAAAAGAAAAAAATGTTTACTTTTCCAAACAAAAGAAGTTTGGCTTTACAGTTGAACAACATTGTGCCAGAGTTGTGTCACAATTTTTACTTTTTTGAAAAATAATGTTACTTTTATTGTGTTTTGTAACACCAAAGATATGCAAAAAATGCTTTGTATTTGCAGTCTATAATATTTTTCCGGACTCATCATTAAGAAACTGTTATAATCTTAAAGATGAATAATGTACCAAAGGAAGGTGACTACAAAGAAATGAAAACTCTTTGCCTTAAAAGGAAATAGTTATTTTCACAAGTGATAGTGCCGGGTGATTGAGTAAATGTCACGATTCTTGTGTTGTGTCACGTTTTTAGTTTTGTGTGTCTGGTAGTGAATGTTTTGCTTTTCTCCTTGTCATGTTTTCCTCCCTGTGTATTGTCTGGTCTTTCTCCCTGTGTTTTCCTGTCTGTCGTTAGTTTCCCTGGTGTGTCTAATTTCCTGATTGTTTTCACCTGTCACCCCTTCTGTGTCTCCTGTGCTCATCAGTGTCAGCCCCGCCCCTGATTGCTCCCACCTGTGTCTTGTGTCTGTGTTTAAATTCCCCAGTCTCCCAGTGTTCAGTGTCAGTTCGTTTTTGTCTATTGCCATGGTCAGTGCTTTGCTCTTGTCTCTTGCCACAGTTAGGTATGCTCTTTTGTGTTCTTGATAAGTTTGATCCTCACTACGTGAGCGTTTTTCCTTTTGTTCTCATTTTTGTCATCTCAGCTAGAGATTTGATAGGGACCATTTTTTGTTGTTCATTTTTGCTATATCTTAGAGGTAAAGTATTGGTAAGATACTTTATTTTTCCGTCTCCCGGGTCGTGCAATTGGGTCCTACCTCCTAAGTGCCTGAGTTCTTAACAGTAAATCTAATATTGACCAGAGGATTACTCATGAGCCGCTGTGAACTGTTTTCAGATCAAATTGTAGCAATACAAAACATGGCATTGTGTTTTAAATGTTAGGAAAAGAGAGAATAAAATGTCATTAAGCCAAATAAAGCCAGTGTCTGACACACCAGATAATAAAAACCTGTGACTTTTATTCCCTACATCTGTCTGACTGGATTATGCAAAAATGTCTGTTAAATAAATTACAGAGTTTAGGGACATTCCCATAATCCAAGTCCTTAAGCCCCCATGCCACTGACCCACAGTGTGTGTGTGTGTGTGTGTGTGTGTGTGAAACAGCCCTGTTTTTATGTGCAGCATGCTTCAGACTCAGTTCCCATGAAATGGTTCCTTCTCTGGTTGGTTCAGAGATTGTCCTGCACTGTAAATGGCTTGTCTGGAGTCTGCCAAGGGCCAATTCAAAGGTAAAAGGAGACAAAAGAGACTGACAGATCCTAAACTGTTGCTCTGTCCCTGTAGCCTAACACACATCAGCAAATAACATTGTGTTTTGACCAGGCACGGGCACACAAAGTGGGCTTGAGCCCCTACCCTTTTTCTTCCTCCAGAGAAAGTGCCCTTTTTCCCCCCTTTTTAAAATGTGTATGAATATATATATATCTACTGCTGTTTGCGCACAGTTTCCCTTTCCCAAAATATATTGATTTAATGCAAAATATCAGGTCGGGAGATTAGACTGTGAAGTTCCGTAGCCCTCCCTCCCTCTCTCGAGTTTACATCTAAAAGACAATAACAAATATAGTTAACTAAGGTAGGCTACTATCATGGATAAGTTAGCTCAAGGTTTAGCTAAGGCAATTTATCATGGGCATACATACAGGCTAATGTACTTTAAGGGGAGACACTTAAGTGAATACAGTAACATGTGTATCTAATAACGTCACCACAATTGCCACATTGATATGTAAATTAGGCGTTAACTAGGCCTAATTAAAATGCGCTAATTTGCATGCAGTTACCAAGGCATTGCCGGTGAAAAGGATGAAACTAAAAAACACATCACCTCACAACTTCCCCAGATAGTTCCTTACGTCAAGTCAGTATTTTCCCCGGAAATGGTATGTTTAAATGCAGATTAGCTTTAAATCTATAGATGAATTCAGACATGGTAGTAAAACGAACACCATTTATATGTGTTTCTTGGCAGTTTTATTTCCATTAGAGTGAAAGAAAACATGGAAGCAAAATAGACCAAAATAACAAGTAGGCTACATGAACATTTTTTGATTGTTGGCTGCTAATTTAATAACTATTAATTTGACTAGTTTGCTGTCTGCTCTTGTGCATTGTGAATACTAAATAAGACCAATAGGCGCTTTCACACTGCGGTACTTTTCCCACAAAGGTTCATGTGAACTTAGTTCATGTGAACTCTTTAGTTCGCATGAACTAAATACAGATCGCGTTCACACTGGAAAAAGTCCCTGGGGGTGGATTAGGCAAATGAAGCCGCTGACGTCACTTGTTCTTCTTCTGCTTTGGGTTTACTGGCAGGCCGCAAACCACTTCACGGCGTATACTGCCGCCCAAAGTCCCCGGCCGGAAGTCCCCGGAGTTAGGGACTGGCTTCAGTAGAAGCTGCTGGGACTCCCAGCAGCTTCTACTGAAGCCTTCCGAGTAAATCGCCAGAACGCCGACACCTCCTCATCTCCACCGCTCCCATGTTTTATTTTGTGTTGCCATAAGTTAGTCTCTTTGCGTTTCTGCGCTGGGCTAATGCTAATGCTAATAATGCTAATGCGAGGATAATAAAATGGCGGCTTCACAAAACTTTTTGGGAGTTTTGCGGGGCGTGGTTTGCAATCCGCCCAGCCAATCAGAAATGTAGCTCTTTTCTCACAAAAGAGCCGTTCGAAAGTCCCTGCTCTCTAGCAGGGACTTTCAAGGGGGTAAAAAGGTTCACATTAACTAATTTTAGTACCGGCTCTTTTTGGTGTGAACGCGATAAAAGAGTTCACATGAACTAAGTTCACATGAACCTTTGTGGGAAAAGTACCGCAGTGTGAAAGCGCCTATTGTCTCTGTGTTAGCTGATTGTTTTTGTAGACTTCTGATTAAACAATTGCGTGAGTGTCAGGGTATTCAAATAAATTGGTCAGTAAGTCAGAGATGTGCAACTATATTTAACTTTTTGTTTTAAAACATTTTTTTATAAATTATTATGGGAAGTGCCCTTTTTCTCATTTGAGCACCCGCCCCCCAAAATGTCTGTGCACGTCCCTGGTTTTGACACAATCAAAAGCTCAGCCTTTAGAGTAGTTGGAAAAATAACCATAACTATAATTGGCAAAAAATAAAATCATATTTTAATCAAATGTTTTTTGGGTGATAGAACACCAGAGTTTATTAAGTGAATATCAAGATAAGCAGGATGCATGAGACAGTTATGATCCGTACGTTTTGCTGAGCAATTGCGTTTCCCTGCAAATGACCCAGCTAGTGAAGTCATTATGCTTTCCACTCTCTCAACGGGAGGTGGGGCTTTATAGTGAAAACGTATTCCACCCCTTGCACAAAGACCAGTGTGCAGTCACAGTCTCCTCCACGCTGTGAGTGCGCAGCGTCTGCACAGATCGCTCCAAACTGGAACTTAAACTCACTTTGCATGAACCTGCACAACTTTACTGCTGATTTCTCGGCTGTGAACGACCCTCGGTGTTCCGCTGTGGCTGTTTTTAGATACTACGACCCGAAAACCGTCGGGACAAGTGAAGATAGAAGCAGCGGGAGTGGTCTGGAAACTTTTGCCATCATGAGCAAGCAGACGGTCAACCTTGATACCTACAGCCTGTCGTTGCTCACGGCCAAAGAGGACATCCTCAACCCCCGTTCCTCCACCAACTGGTAAAACATAAAAACTAAATTATTTCTGCCTGCTATACCAGAATGCTATTCGCATGCATCTTGATTTATAAGATTTATAGCCAACTGTATGCGTCATTATAATGGGAAATTAGGATTCAGTAACTTTAATAAAACTCTCATGTTCTCCATCTTGTTTTACTGAGTGAGTAGCATTTTAAGCAAGTTAGCTGTTGCGTAAACAGAGTTTTGATTACAATTAATCCAATGAGGGAGACGAAGGTGGCCATACAGGGACAGCACGCAACCTGGACTTTCTTTACAAGTAGTACAGTAATGACAGATGCATGCACTGGGGTTAAGACTCCCCCATCCACTCGGAGAGCTGGTGAGAGGTGTGGATTGCCGTAGATTACTCACGCCAGGCGGCTGGTGGTGTGGCTCAGAGCGCAGCACCTGGCCGGCGGCTTGCAGTCCAATGGGTCGTGCTCTCCATGACTTTGCTATTCTCCCCCAGGAGCTGTGAGGCTTCATTCTTTGTGCTGAGGATCATGTTTCCGCTGATCTCTGACAGGAGTTGTCTTTCAGGGAGAGGCTCTTTAAATTTGACAGACAACATAGTATGCATGCATGCATGAGTACCATCCACATAATAATAATTGCAATTTTGAGCAACTACTGAAATGTGAATTGGTAAAGGTTATGAATGAAAACATTAAGAATAACTAACTAAATAACTGTTTTCATTTTCAAAGACTATGATTCGTAGATACATGGAAACCTGAAATGTTTCATTAATGTTGCTCTGGCATAATGTGAGACCACGTCCTGCTGTTACCCTATCACCTGACACTTGGCTAATTTCTTTTGTCACAAGGTTTGGCTGTCATGTAACTATGGTGACCTATCCATCTTTCCAAACATTACCAGTCTCCCTGTCTCATCTCCTTTCTTCATTTTCTCCCCTCTGTGTGTGGGGTATTCATCTCCAGCTTTAGACATTATGTCATTGGCTATTCTCTGCTAGCACAGAGAGAATACGTTATACAATGACCCCGCACTTTCCATGCATCTACTAGACTTGATGTGGAAGAGGACTGATTCTGTCCAGCTCAGTTTCATCTTCCTCTGCTTCATATATCTCACTGCTACAGGGTTTTAAAGCCCAAATCTTCCTACCTTCTTCCTTTTTTCATGACGTCATGCAGGGTTGAGTAAATAGTACTCAGAACACTATGGGTTAACTTTGACAAGTTTAAATTGGGGTGGAAATAAGTTCCCCATCCAGGCAGAACATGCTTAGTTTCCATTCTTTCTTGCATTTGGAAAATGTTGAAAAGTTTCCATGTTCAGAATCACTATGGAGGTTTTGTCCCATTGCAACATCTCACATTGATACTTCACTGATCCAGCAGTTTCTCATTGGAGAGCATTTCCCTAAAGTTTCAGGGAACAACAGATCTGCATTGTGTCTTTGCCAACCCACAGCCTGTGAAACACATTGACACAATACACACAAACAAAAACACACTTACATGTGCTTCTATCCACCACAAGCCTGTGTTTGGTTTAGCTTACAAGAGAATAAAAAGAAAAGACAGAAAGAAAACCCCCAACATTTACTCCGCCCACTTTAGAGGGCGAAATAGCTCTGCTGGGACTGAATAGAGAAGTGGGGGGACATGATGATGTCATGATTCCCACCGTCAAACCCCCGAAACAGACAACAACCAGGAGTGTGTTTGTCTGAGTGAAGGGAGTCTTTCTACATGCATGTGAGTTTGCATGGGCAAATATTTGTCTGTGAATGTGCAAATGCATCCTGCCGAGACTATTAAAGGGAGTCAAAGGCGTAGAGAAGTTTGCATGGAGAGGGGTGGGAGTCTTGTTTTGTTGAATGATCCCGCCCCCACTGTGTGGCCTTGAGGTCCCTGTGTGTATTATCTAATGACCTTGTGTCTTGAATGGGAAACAGACCCATTGTGGGGGAGACTATGAAGAAAAGAGGAGCGATTTCAATGCATCCTTCATTCAGACCCCTCTGCTCAACATACAGCCTAGGAGGTCTCTCCTCAGACTTCCAGACCATGGAGGACTACAAAGTGTCTCACTCGTAGGCTGGAAATGTGCACTGTCTGCATGTGTTTTGTGTTAGTGTGTGCTTTGAGACACAGAAAGAAAGAGAAACAAGTCCCCGAAAACATTGTCTAATAACTCAACAGGAAACACTTTTTATTCTCAGCAGTAGAAATTATGATTTAGGTCCAGTTTACACCAAAATAAATACCTCAAACTTGCACTTTAGTGGCAACGGGCACATTGAAATGTTTGTAGTTTGTAAAAAACTACCCTGATATCTTTCATATAAACATTTCCTTTTCGTTTTGAATGAAAGGAAGTTGTGTAAAACTCAATTCAATAAAATATTTCAGTTTCGTAATAGCCAATAAGACCAAAGCTACATGCTCCACCGGATGTGTCCTCCTGCCAAGTATCAAATATAGTGCAGCACCAACTTAGCGAAGCATGATAAAGAGGGGGAGAAACAGTTTGGGGTATGTTTACAGCATTGTTTCAGCCTTGCAAAGCATATCAGATGGGAATGTATTGAGTTGTGGAGCAATTTGACTTTTTTTTGACTTGGGTGTGTGCTGTATCCAGACATCTTTGGGACTTTGAACACACCTTTTTCATAAACCCTTTTTCTTGCTGTCCACACTTTGATAATGTGTGCTGTAAGTGTTTCATTATGTTCTCTTGCAGGAATTATACAGTCAGCAGTGGGTGACACATAAAGTAAATATCATATTTCATTGTAGTAACTGAGTCATTCAGTTTAGACAGAGTATTAAGAGATCAGTCAATCTTGTCTTCATTCAGTCCAAGTTAAAGTCTACTTCTGTTTGAATGAAATGTTTCAGTGAAATGTTCTGTAGCCATATTTAATAAAGAAAACAGGGTACTTACATTGTCAAAGGTTGTCATATAAGTGTTACTAGATTGTATAAAGAGAGAATACAATTTATATATATTTATATAATAGTATAGTTACTAGCCCAGGTTTAATTTGAACAGGTAAAGACAGTTCTTCATTGATTTGAAAGTGTAATTGCTTTCATAAATGTTAGGAAGAAATAGATGTTGGAAGTTAAGAATTGTTTGTGATAGTCGTTACTAAGTAACCTAAATGCCTAAAAGGTATTCTTTTGAAAAATAAATTCACCTCTGACAACTTAATTTCAGAAACACTGGATTTCCAAATTGTTGTTCTTTTGCAGCTGTTCCAAAAATAATCTTAGAGTATAATATAACATGTAATTTAGCCCTCTGAATTCATAAATTATCTGGCTATAGATAATTTATTTTTAATTTGTACATTCACTCATCTCTTTTTTTAATGTTGTGTCTTAGGAAAACCTAAGTAATGACTCTTACCCAATTTCATTGAAGAAGCAACACAATATCCTCTCCTTTCCAGGCGCCTGATATATTTTGAAAGCACCACCCCGTTGATAAATGGAGGTGCCTTTATTTCAGCGTCGGCTCGGGGTGTTTGTGCTGCTGCTACTTGCCAAAATGTCCACAGGCTCATGCATGATTTACCAAGACCTAAAGAGTTCCTGGGTCTAAAGTTACGCGCTACAAGGGAATACACCTGTGGTTGTGGGGAGTGGACAGGAGGGAGGAAAGTACGCAAGCTGTCATTGTGTGTGGATGCACATGCTTAGTCTTTCTGCTTGTGTATAGGTGAGGTACGTACACACAGTATTGTTGGGCCTATTAGTTGACATTAGAATGTTATTGTACATTGAAACTGTATTGTTTTCTTATGGGCTTATTGATTTTGTTGTATTTGATTAACCTGTCATCTTATTATATGATCTCATATACAGTATGATCATGTGCAATGCAACTATTATATTTAGTAGGTTCATTTATGGTCAAGCTCACTCAGGCAGTTAGGGCAGCTCAGGGGTCCTACAGGTGAGACTCAGAACGGGGCAGAGGCAGGGATCAGTAATTAGACCAAGCCGAAATTATCCAGCTACGTTGCAGTGAGGTACTTGTTTGTCTTTATTTAATTCCAGGTAAGCAAAGATGTATACAACTAGTGACACAGATGTGCAATGAGCAAGTAAGTGTAATGAATGAGCGGTAATGACGATTTGATATTTAAATCTGAATTTTTTTCGTCGATCTACCAGTTGAGTGTCCAACAGTGGTCCACCTGTCCGCTAGTATGGATGAGTAGTGTAACCACGTAGCCTATGTATTTTTGCTAAATACTGTCAGTCATTGTGTTTTTCGGGTTAAAGTACACGTGGACATGATATTTGAATGTTTATGCAAGTTTAAAAGTGTAAGGCTACATGAATGTTGATACAGGCTTCATTAATTAGACCTAGCCGACAGCGTTGCACTGATGTGATGGCGTTTCTGTATTTCCAGAACGAAACAAAGTAACACATGCACATCAGGAAATCATGTTATGTGCAACATGTGTACAGTATTTCCTGAATACAGAGTGCATTTGTGTCAGTAATCTTGTTTGTAAAGATAAACAACCATTATCATCACACTGTTATCAAGCAGTAACTCACTTCCCTGCACTTGGTTCTGCTTTTTGTTCAGTTCCCTAATTATCCACAAACACTGTCAAAAAGACGCTCAATGGCCAATCAAGGCTAGCTGTCGAAACATGAGCTGTTGTGTAAACCTTATCTAGCTTTGTAAAGGTTATCATAGCTTTCTGAGTTGAAGAAAATTCTTCTGATCACCTGACTGTGGAATCAGACGAAAAACAAGCAGTCTGGTTGGTTTCCTTTGGCTGTCAGGATAAGGCTTCAAAGGCTGCACGCTGTGTTGTTGTCAAGCTGAAGGAAAAACAGTACGTTTGATCGATCCTTGATATAAATAGAAATATCTGTACATAGGAAGTTAAAGGTTAGTTACAATGCCTCTCTCACTAAATCTCTGTCTCTGTGTCTGACATAGATCTGCCATGGTTCCAAAAAGGCATTCATTCTATTGCTTATTGTGAG